AGGATGATAGGCATTGAGATTCGCAACCGCATCCAGACGGAGTATGCCCGCTTCGAACCACTTTGGATGAGGATCCTGGGCCGACTACAAACACCAGTGGCGAAGATCCCTCTTACAATATACAAGGTAGCCAATGCATTGCACATTACTGAGTTTTGCTCCCACCGCCCAGGTCCAAGCTGGTGCCGAGCCCTTGGTCGGAGGTGCTCCTGTGGTGTCAACATGGAACAGCTCAACCAATTGCTTGCTCTCCAACATAGGACTCAGCAGGCGATCGAGGAGGCCCAGCAGATGCTTGCACAGGACATCAGCTCCTTGAGGGGCTATGTCTCTACGAACATTGCCATCGTGAACAAGAATATTGGGAGGATCAACCACTTCCAGTTGATCGCGAGGGGCGGTGGTGCTCCAAGGCTTCCGCTTCCTGGTGCGCCGGTGGAGCTGGCGTTGGTGGTGGTGCTGCGGGAGCTGGCGTTGGTGGTGGTACTGCGGGAGCTGGCGGCGGATGAGCTGGCGGTGGTGCTGCTGCACGGGCGGAGGACTTCCCCCACCACCACCGGAGTCCTGGGCGTTTGGCCCGTACTCCTGCCGCAAGGGCCCCGACACCCGCTACCCTCCCAGCGCAGCTTGCGAAGAAGCCTTTCAACCTCTACGAGCTGTGGGACGAGTGGATCAAGGGCCTGAACGGGAACAAGGCCGCATGCGAGTTTACTGCTCGTGAGCGCGCCGCGTCAAGGACAAGTTCTGCCGCCGCAAGCATGTGTGGGACTGTGTGATTCGGTTGATGGCCAAGGGCTTCGATTGGAGGGCTGCGGTCGACCGTATCTATGCCACCTACGGGTGGCTTACGGTCACCCAGATCATCAACAAGTTCAAGCACGACAAGAAGAATCAGCCCACCGGCTTCCACCCACGCTTGCGTTGAGCGAACTGCCTTGGTGGTGGTACCCAGCCTACAGCGCGATCCTGCTGTAGGCTAGCAAAAAACAAATTTTATATGTTTCATTTTAGTTTTAAGAATTTTTGTGGTTACTGGTTTTCTTGTTGTCTTTTGTTATCTTGTTTGTGATCTGAGCGACTTTGTCTTTGCCGTTCGTGGACTTAGCATTTTCGAGGACTTTGCGATTTTCATGTGCTTTTCCACTCTGCCGATCACTTTGCGATCTTTTGCTTGGATTGACTTTCTTCCTCTTGTGTGCGTCAGTGTGTTTGCGAAAGCCTTCGTTCATACCAGTGTCGATGTTCCAGCGAGCCAGTCGGTCGTCGTTCGATGTTCCAGTCAGCGAGAAAGGTAGAAACACCCAAAACAAAGGGAAAGACAGGGTAACACGTAGAGCCTGGTACTCCATGTACACGGTTGTATTCCTGGTTTGTTAGAGGGGTGATACCTTTACTGTACCATACGATGTACTGGTATGTGAGTTGCTAGCTAGTGGGCGAAAAGGTGCATCACGTGAAATAAATGATTTTACCATTACTCATAACCATGCATGACCAGCTAGCTATTGACATCTCGTTGATGTTCCGACACAACTATGGGCCATGGATGTGTTCCAGGCTAGCTAGCTAGTGGCCTCCATGGCTTGAGTTGTCACAGGCAAGTTGCTCCGTGGCGCGGTGATGGCGATGGAGCAACCCATCAAACGATTGACGAAAACAGAACCTGTGGCGTCCAAGGTCCAAGAGGATGTTCCAGTGGTTAGCTATCCCTCCCAGCTGCTTTGGTGTCCTTGTGCCACCTGGACTCAGCACTCCAGCTGGCCAAAACTACTACCGGTAGCTAGCTACCGGTAGTCTAGATCTATTTGCTTTTTCAATCCAAAACGATTGAATGGTGGTCGCGGGTTTTGCTTTTTCAACTCCAACCCTGCCGCACTTCCGGAAGCCTGGATTGAGTACTAGATCTACCCATGTCCAGCCGCACACTGCTTCCAAACTCGGCTTCTCATCCTTTATGTCTTCCGAGAGATTCGCGCTTTCCTCTTGCTTCTGACGTCGAATCTTCGCAAAAGATCCGATGGATCCAAAAGCTCCTTGATGGATCCTCTGAATGAAGAACGGAGTTGCATCTCGGCAGTGGTTGGTCGCCAAAGAAGCCTTCTCAGTGCACATTCATCCTCCTGCTGGAAGATACCAAAATAAACAAATTAGCATTGCCATCTATCCGTTGTTTAGTATCACTCATCTTTGGTTAGGTTGAAAGCATATTTATTATCAAGTTAAAAATAGAAGAGAAAAAGAATCAAGAGCATGTCAGGCAACGGCAACAGCTACCAAAAGAATGGTGGCGTTGGTGTGTACCATGAAATCCCTAATGGGGCTGAGGGTGGAATGAGCAGCAAGAAGAAAACCATGATCGGAGCTGGTGTGGTGGCGGTGCTTGCCATTGTTGGATACTTTGGTTTTGGTGGAAGCAGTGAGCCAACTGGTGCCTCTGTGGCCAAGGTCATGGAAAAGGCTGATCTCAACGTCAAGGCCAATGGAGAATTGAAGCTCTTTGATAAGCAGAGTAAGTCACTACAAAATGACTCGTTGGGGGTATCTTTATGGGTACCATTATCTCTGGTTTGACTCGACTCGAGGATACCTTTTTCAATGCTGGATTGAGGAAGGAAACGATGAAACAATGGGGTTCCACAGTCTTTTATTTTCGTGTTTAGTATTCTCATCTTATTGTTCATTATTCTCTTTCCTTCACAGAGCGCTTTGTTCAGGAAGATTACGATGCCGTTTCCACTTTTGCATCTTTCCTTCCCGGTGTTGCTGGATATTTTGGAAAGCCAGTTTGGGCATTTTATGTCAACCGTGGTCAAGGAATTTCCACCTTTGGTACCGAATCCAAGGATTATCCACTTTTGGAGTTCAATGCTGCCAACAAGGCTTACCAATTGACTCCTTATATTGGTTTCCGTTCCTTTGTCCGTGGAAGTCGCGGTTCTACCTCGTTTCAATCCGAACCTTTCACCCCTTCTAGGAGCCGCAATATTTTGGACGAAAACGACGATCCCAGCAAGCCCAAGCGTATTTTGTATGTCGGTACCAATGAATTGGAAATTCAGGAATTGGATGGAGTCCATGGTTTGACTACCAATGCGGAATATTTCATCATGCCAGAAGAAAATTACGCAGCCTTGGTTCGTCGTGCTACCTTTACCAACAGTGGAGACTCAGAGGTCACTCTTGATATCCTTGATGGACTTGCCAAGATGGAACCAGCTGGAGGAATGCTGGACGGCATGTTGAAAAACATGGGAAGGTATGTTTTTCCAACATTATGAAAATGCATTTTGCTGATTCCTTGCAGCAATTTCACCCTTTCGTCTTTTTCAATTTCCCTCGGTTGTTTCGCCATTTGTTAGGACTGTTGAAGGTTGGTTTGGAGTTTACCATGCTGACGACACCCTTACAATGCCCTTCTACAAGCTGTCTACAGAACCATCCGATGAAGCCAAGGTCAAGATCGAACAGGAAGGACATTACTTGATGGCTTTCGTGGAAACAGAGGACAAGGAAGCTACACTTCTTCCCATCGTCTTTGATACCAACAAGGTCTTTGGAAAGAGTACCTCCCTTGAGTCACCCCGTGGATTGCAAGCCTCCAGTGTTCAAGAAATCTTGGATAATCCTCAGTACGGAGACGCCAAGACTTCTTGTGCCTTTGCCGCTGTCAGTCAAGTCACCTTGCAGCCCGGTGAAAACATCACTATTGCCTCTGTCTATGGAAAAGCCCATCACATTGACCGTGTCCCTGAGATTGCTGAAATTATCAAGGCTCCTGGATACATTCAAGAGAAGGCTCAGCGTGCTAAAACTTTGATCAACAATTTGACTGCCAGTGTCGAGACCAACACTGCCAACCCACTTTTCGACGGTGCCGTCAAGCAGATGTTCTTGGATAACAGTCTTCGTGGAGGTATGCCCACCATTATTGGAGACGTTGAAGGTACCAAGACCTACGATGAAGATCCTGGTGTTAAGGTTTTCCATGCTTTCTCTCGTATTCACGGTGATTTGGAACGTGACTACAATGCTTTCAAGATCGAGCCTGCTTTCTTCTCTCAGGTAGGGAACCGGGTTCGATGATTTCTCATCGTGATGGTAGCTTTTGTTGTCTCACTGTTTCCTCTTCCTGCTTGCCTTTAGGGACCTGGAAACTACCGTGATGTCGCTCAAAATCGTCGTGATGATGTTGCTTTCACCCCTCGTATGGGAAGTTTTGATGTCCAGCAGTTCTTGTCCTTCATTCAAGCTGATGGATACGAGCCCTTGACGGTCGAAGCCGTTGTGTACCAGTTCACTGATTCCGCGAAGGCTGCCGAAGCGGCAAAGGCAGTGACTGGTGATCCAAAGAGCGAAGACAGTAAGATAAAACTCGGGTTTGATTTGACATGTTGGGTTTTCGGCCATGATGTTGTTTCTGACGAACTCTTTCTCTTGCAGCCCTTACCAAGGTTCTCAAGGGCGGTCCTTTCCGACCAGGTCAACTCTTTGACCTCATGGATTTGTTGAACATCACTATCACTGCAAGCAACGAAGACTTTGTGAACACGTTGGTAGCTGGAGCAGAAGACTTCGCCATGGCTGTCTATGGCCAAGGATACTGGGCTGATCACTGGGACTACTACGTCGACTTGATCGAAGCCTACTTGAGCATCTACCCTGATGAAGAGGAATCCCTCATGTACGACACATCTCTCCGCTATTTCTTCTCGACCGCGACAGTCAAACCCCGAAGTCAAAAGTACATTTTGACCCTAACTTTTGACGGCAAGAGCAAACACGTGCAACAGCTCGAGTCTACTTATTATGATCAGGACAAGGCGAAGGAACAAGAAGCCTTCCGTGATCAGAATACCGGACTCATCAGTATTGATGCCAACTGGCAGAGAACTCCTGGAACTTCTGGCACGGCCTTCAAGAGTAGTGCACTCGCCAAGCTCTTCCTTCTTGGATCAATCAAATTCGCCATGAGAGATGCATGGGGTATGGGAATTGAGTACGAAGGAGGCCGCCCAGGATGGTTGGACAGTATGAATGGACTCCCCGGTAAGCATTGTAAAGTTTGGTGGCCATCATTCTTTGTGCGAATGCTCTCACTCAGGTTTGTTCACAATTGATTAGGTATGGTCGGAAGTGGAATGCCTGAAACCTATGAACTTTACTTGCTCCTCAAGTATGTCAAGAGTGTCTTCGACAAGTTTGATCGCCCAATCATCATCCCCTCGGAGCTCTGGAAGATGGTCAATACTACGGAAGCGGCTCTCGATGAGCTCGAAGCTTCGGGATACGTTGACGCTGAGGAGCTTACTGAAGATGTCCCCGAGGAGCTCTTCGAGTACTGGGATGTTGTCGCATCTGCTCGTGAGAACTACCGCAACGATGTCGAATACTACTTCTCCGGCAACACAACCACTGTGGACGCCAAAGACGGCTCAAAGATGATTTCGAGATGGTTGGACCAGATTGAGCTTGGAATGAAACGTGCCGCCTACTTTACCACTCTTGGGTACGGAGACGATGGTTCCTCAGGGGTCCCTGCATGTTTCTTCTCGTACGAAGTTACTGACTGGGCGCTCAACAAAAACAAGAATTCTGTGGGACTCCCCTGTGTCAATGCCAAGGCTATGAAGGTTGGAAGACTTCCCATGTTCTTGGAAGGCCCAGTTCGATACATGAAGACTATCCAAGATGATCAGGACAAGATGAAGGATTTGTACCAACGCGTGCTGAAGTCAGGCCTTCGTGATACCGAGTTGAAGATGTACTTCTTGTCGGCCACTTTGAAGGGTCAAACTTACGATATCGGTCGTCAAATTGCCTTTGCACCTGGTTGGTTGGAGAACCAGTCCATCTGGATGCATATGTCTTACAAGTACTACTTGCAGTTGATTCGTGGAAAGCTTTACGAAGAATTCTTCTCTGAGATGAAGGGTGGCGGTATCTTGCCTTTCATGGACGCCAAAACGTATGGCCGATCTCTCATGGAGTGCTCTTCGTTTATTGCTTCTTCTGCTTTCCCGGACCCGTCCATTCACGGAGAAGGTTTCCTTGCTCGTCTCAGTGGTTCCACCGCTGAGTTCATGAGCATGTGGAAGTTGATGTTCATTGGGCCCACTCCTTTCTATTTGAACAAGGAAGGCGATGTCGAGTTCCAGCTCGTGCCTGCAATTCCTTCTTGGTTGTTTGAGGATCCGGAAAGCGACTCGGAACCTATCAGAGACGAGGATGGATCGCTTACTGTGAACTTCAAGCTTTTCGCCCACATTGTTGTCACCTACCACAACCCCTCTGGCGGAGACATCTACGGAGAGCCACCCAAGAAATACAAGGTCACCATGGCGGATGATAGCGAAATCGACATTGACGGATCTGTCATCCCCACCGATACTGCTCTTGAGATTCGTCGTGTCAAGCCAGTCAAGTCGATTGATGCCTACTACTAAAAGATGAACTGACGAGGCGGGTTGCATGTGCATGGCATGAAGTTGAAAGGAGAGTTGTGCGTGCTGTAGATGTGTACGACTTCTTCTAAATTCATATTCGTAGATTGTGTAACTGAATAATAAAAGGAATGTTGCCCAATAGTTTTGCTTTGTGTTGCTGTGAAGTGAAATGACTAACTAAATAGAGTGCGGGAGGCTAAGCTAGGCAGAGAAGGGCCCTGTTGGTTGGGAACAACAGGGAGAGTAAGTGACTTTCGATAGCTGATGCAGATGGTGGAAATAATAAGGAATTCACATTACTAGCTAGTCTACTCTTCCATTTCATCCGTGGTCTTCGATGACGCCTTGTTTGTAGACGGCTCCTTACTTTCTAGATCCTCCAATTTGGATTTGATTTCCTCTATTTGACACGAAATGGCTTGAATCTGCATTTCCATTTCATCATTGTCATCCTCATCCTCTTCTACCTGCATGTCACCATCTTCTGCTTGTTGTTGTTCCATTTCCTTTTGAATCGCTTCCAGCATCTCCATGGCCTTTTTCCAGTAATACTGTGCCAGCTCCGCGTTGTTTTCGCCATTGTAAGCACAACCCAGTAGATAGTAAATGTCTGGCACCTCGTCATTTTCCGCCAGTAGACTCCCCAGCACTTGAATGGCCGCCGTGTGACATTTCGTGGCATCCTCCTCACCCGCACTATTAGTAGCACATTCGAGGAGCAGTTTCGCGGTTTGACATCGAAAATCAAAACTGGGAAGACTTTCGGCGGCATCGACTTCCAACAATTCCACCGCGCGCTTACCGTCCATTCCTCCCAATTGCGACAATGCTTCACAACCCACTTGCATTTTTCGAAACGCTCTCAATATAAATGCGAGTGCCGACTGTGTTTGTTGTTGCGATAGTTTGAGACTGGCGGCTGTTTGAAGGGCATCGACCATGCAGGGTTCCTTGTCATCATTGTCGTCGTCCTCTTTTATTTCCAGTGCCAAGTTGACGTACTTTTCACATTCGGTTTCGGCATTGTCATCGTAGCACAAATCGGTGAGATAGAGTTCTGCGACAGTGGCCCGTGCACTGGCAAGTTTTCGTCTATGGAGATGACGATTGTCGAGATTGAATGGATATTTTGTCAAGTGGATTGTTGAGGATCGGTCAGATATTTTTGGAAGAAAGAAAACAAGCAAAAGATCAGATCTGCCATGCCTTGGCTGAATAGGTACCCCCAAAGCACTCTTCTTTCATTGTGTTTTTCTCACCTAACTTCCTTGAGTGCCACTTGTGGTCCATTTTCCTCCTTTTCGTTCTCCACCTCCATGGAAGCTTCTGCTTCCTCGGCGGGACTAACAGTTGTATCTTGTTGTTGCCTGACTTGGAGAGCTGTCTCTAGACACTGCAATCCCTTTTGGTAAGCTTGCAATGCTTCTTGTTCGCAACTCAATTGTCCAATGTATAGATGGAGACCTGCCAGTGTTTCTTGGTACTGTGCTGCCTCTTTTGGATTGTCCGTAGTGTTGTTTGTTGTCATGATGGCAATGGCCCGTTCAAAATCTTGTTTGGCCGCTCCTGAATTTCCTTCGGATGCTTTGAGTTCTCCCAATTTTTCCAATACATGAACGAATAGCTTTGGTGATGTCGCATCTGCATCAGTCTTGGAGGAGGATTTATCATCATCCATCAATGTCAATGCCGAAGTATAAAAGGCCATGGCCTTGTCTCCCTCCATGGCCAAGGAAGCAGCATCTCCAGCTTGGATCAGTTCATCAATGGACGGAACTTTTTGGGTAGCATTCTTTTTCTGCTGTTGTTGTTTCTTTTTCTTATTGTTGGGTAGTTGCTTGGCCTTTTTGTGTTTGCTCATCTTGGTTGATTGCTTCTAATAATAGTCTAGCTAGTGTTGGTAGGTATGCGCAGTTAGTTTGTTTTCTTTTCTTTAGACTGCAAAGTCCAAGGTGGTGTCATGGCGGTGGCAGAAAAATGAGGTTTGAGAAATAATGAGTGGTGGCGAGAAAGCTAAGAAAGCCCTCACTCTAATGATCTTTCGAAGGATCCAACTCAATCACCAACTAACTCCTCACTCCTCTAGCTCTCAAGTCGCATCGCATCCTCATTCTACACTGCACCGATATCATCCAAGTTTGGGAGCCTCTTCTATCGATCCCAAGACAACATCAATACTGTCGTAACAATCCCAACAACAATCCACACTACTACCGTATCGCAAGATGGAAGATGTAATGGGCTTTACTCCATTGGGCTCGGGTCAAGAAGTGGGCCGTAGTTGTCATGTCTTGGAATTTCGCGGCATGACGTTACTGTTGGATTGCGGCATTCATCCTGGATACGATGGAATGAACGGATTGCCCTTTTTGGATCGCGTGGAACCCGAGCAAATCGATGTCTGTCTCATTACCCACTTTCACCTGGACCACGCCGCCAGTTTGCCCTATCTCACGGAACGAACGCCCTTTCGAGGACGCATCTTCATGACACACCCCACCAAGGCGGTCTTGCGACTCCTCTTGGGGGATTACCTGCGATTGCTCAGTATGCGCAATGCCAAAGCCGAAGATGTCCTCTACACCGAAGCCGAATTAATGTCTTGTCTTGAAAAGGTCGAACTCATTGACTATCATACTACGGTCGATCTGGGAGGACTCTCCTTTCACGCCCTCAATGCCGGACACGTTCTCGGCGCTTGCATGTACTTTTTGGATTTCCTAGGAGGACGATCCGTCCTCTACACGGGCGACTACTCAATGGAAGAAGATCGGCATTTGATGGCGGCCGAAGTGCCGGAAAAGAAACCCGACGTCCTAATCACGGAAGCCACTTATGGGGTGCAAGTCCATGCGTCGAGACGGGAACGAGAAGCGCGTTTTTGTGGTACCGTCGATCGCGTCGTCTCACGGAATGGACGCTGTCTCATACCCGTATTTGCCCTCGGGCGAGCGCAAGAATTGCTCCTCATTTTAGATGAATACTGGCAAGGCAATCCGCAGTTGCAAAACATTCCCATTTGGTACGCATCCAAATTGGCATCGCGGGCGCTGAGGGTGTATCAAACCTATGCCAATATGATGAATGCCAGAATACGAACGCAAATGGATGTCAGCAATCCATTTGCATTCAATTACATTCAAAATCTCAAATCCATTGATGTCAATTCCTTTGACGATTCCGGACCTTCCGTCGTCTTTGCATCGCCGGGAATGTTACAATCCGGTGTCTCGCGACAGCTGTTTGATCGATGGGCATCCGATCCCAAAAATGGAGTCCTCATTGCCGGATATGCCGTCGAACACACACTCGCCAAGGAAATCATGAATCAACCAAAAGAAGTCGTCACTATGGAAGGAAGACGACAACCCCTCAATTGTCTCGTCGATTATGTCAGCTTTTCGGCCCATGTCGATTTTGTACAGAATCGATCCTTTATTCAACAAGTCGATCCCAAACATATTATTCTCGTTCATGGACAAAAAGATGAAATGGGACGATTGAAAAGTGCACTCTTGTTGCAGTACAAGCAGTTGCCAGAGGTAAGAATTGAAATTGTATCGAATCGTTGTTTGTGCTGTATATTCATTCTAGCAGTTCTTGGTTGGGAAGCGATTGCACCAATCGATCTTACAGTTGTTGCAACGGCATTGCCCTAACTATTTGTTCCATCTTCTGCTCATTGCTCGTCTCGTGTGCGTCCGCTAATGCTCACGCTTGATTTCTTGCTTGATTGCTCGTATGACAGAACAAACGACCCACGGTGATTATGCCACCCAACTTGGCACGAGTCTCACTCCGATTTGCTAGGAGACGATCCGCCAAAGTCATGGGGACATTGGCCGATCGAGAAACGGAACCCAAAGAGGGAGAACAAGTGCGAGGGGTTGTTGTCACGCACAACTTTCAATCCAAAATTGTAGCGCCAGAGGATCTAGCCGCGTACACGCCACTACGGGTGGGATCCATCTTTAGCAAGTTGCACGTACCCTTTTTAGGGTCCGTGGCAACTTTGAAATTGTTCTTGACGGAAATGTTTACCGATGTGACGACGACCGAAGGGGAAGACAACAACAACCAGACCTTTGAATTGCATCAGGGCAAGGTACGTTCTACTTTACAGCGAGAAACAAAGTTGGACGGAGCAATCGTACTCAGCCTTGTGACACTTGTTTCCTTCTTTATCAATATTGTTATCGTCTTCAGATCAAACTCAAGTGTGGGGAAACCAAAGGGGCGGTGATTGTGGAATGGGAAGCTAGCCCTGCGGGCGACATGATTGCCGATGCCGTGGTGGCGTTGATCATGCATGCTCAGAGTAGCTCCGCGTCGATCCGACTCACCAGTAGACCTTGTCGACATTCGCGACCAAACGATGAAGAGGAAGAACCGGCGCAGAAAAAAGCTAGAGCGGGGGAAAGCGTTGACACAAAGCTTCGATTCCTGCACACGACACTGTTGAAACAGTTTGATTCCGTCGAGGCGACATTCGAAGCCAAGTCTGCCACATTCGACATCAAACTGGATACGTCGCTCGAGTCGGGAGTCATGGATGAGGATGGGAAGCTCACGGTGACGGCAAAGGTTGATTTTGATGACTCCGGGTTGAATGCAACAATCACTGTAGAAAGCAAGGACAAGAAGATTGCTGCCAACGTGAAGGATTGCCTGAAGAATGTATGTACTAGTCTTAATCCAATTAGTGCATAAAAAGAGATCTCTTTACTTGAATTTAGCAAATGGTGGAAGGGGTTTGTGTACTGGTACCGGTAGTGTCCGTACCAGTACCGGTAGCGCTCGGAAGGTTGTTAGTTTAGCTGGCTTCCCACGGGAGAGGTTGACACCACCACGAGCTTTCTTTGACCACAGGAAACGGGGCTCCAACCTTCACTCCATCGCACTTTCTCGATTGGGGCAGTGGGTTAGTAGTGATCAGCGGCATGCAAGAAAGAGGGACTAGCTGGATGCATGGAAGGTGGAGAAACTGGACTAAATTGGATTTGTGTGGGAAGCCCTCAAAGAAAGTTGGAACTCTTTCTACCAAGCATTGCTTGCCTTCAAGGCCCGAGAAGGTCACTGTGATGTGCCCCAGAATCACATTGAAGGAGGCGTGAAGCTGGGTGGATGGGTGAACAAACAGCGGATGGCAAAAAAGAACGATAAGCTGGATGCATTGAGGCTGCAGCAACTACTAGAACAGGTTGGTTTCATTTGGAATGTACTTGATTGGAGGCGGGAACAGAACTTCCATTTGTACGAGGAGTATGTTTCTGAAACGGGAAAGCCATCTGTGCCACAATCCTAGGAAAGAGATGGTGTCAAGCTTGGGCTTTGGTATCACAATCAGCTAGGTCTTTTCAGGCACCAGAAAGAAGTGAATGGAAGAACTTGGTTGTGTCTTTGGTAAGAACTAACTACTAAGTAGCTGGTAGCTGGGTTCGTAGCTTATTTCTTGGTTCGTCATGTTACCGTTGGAATTACAGCTTCGCATGCTTGTTACCCGACAACACCGCTATGTACTGGTACGTCCTCACGTCCTCACCGAACAAGCTGGGGCCAAGATCCATGCATGCATGTGTTGGACGCTTGATGCCATTCCAGTCGAGTCGAGTCTTCTGGCTACGAATTAGTTTCGTGGTGTACCGGTAGAGGATAGAGTCGAGTGACAGTCAGTCGTCTGGCTAGCTAGATCGATCAATCTACATGAGTTTCAGTTTGATGGAGCATTGTACCGTACGTTTGTGTTAGCTTGACTCCAAACAAACTGCTATAGTATAGTAGTTGACGATGAAGAACCCCAAGAAACCCTCCCACAATGGCGATGCCGCTGGGCACGCCGAGTTTCGCCGTTGGGTGTACAGCCTGACTCGATCTCAGCTGTTGAATGCCATGGAGTTTTCGGTATATGTGGATAGTAGTAGTGGCGTGAGCCATGAATACGAGTTGTTTTTGGAGATGATCACCCTCCAGCCACCGCCCTTTTGCCCCATTCATCCTCGAGCTGTCCCGTACCCAGTGGCCAGTGGCAAGGCCAAGACAGATGGTCGGAATACGGCCGTCAAAATGCTCAAGAGTCGCATCCAACAACCCCGAATATTCCAGTTTTTGGCCACGTCAAACAGTGCCAATAACAACATCAACAACAACAACAATAATGGCAGGAGACGCAATGGGCAGCGAAAAAGGACGGCCCCTGTAGAGCAACGATTCGAAGTGATTGCCCGAAAATTCATTACCAGTTGGGGTGACGCCTTGAATATTGGCTGTACGCAAGAACAACGAATGGCGGATGAGCAAATCATGAGAGGGACACTGGTCGTCCACGCGGCAATGGATGGATGCGTTTTAAATGAGTGAACGATTCCCAGACTGCCACTTCGAATCGACTCGCCAAGTACATGGGCAAGGAGAACCACCGGGTGGTTGGATCCAGCCAGGGAGCGCAAAAGGACGGGACAGTGCGAATTGTTGTGGTGGTGGAATGATTATTATCATGCGGTTGGGATAGAAAATGTCCTCTGGAGACGACGTGCAGCAGTCTTAGCAAGTCTCCAGCAGACTGATGATGATGATGATTGTCAAAAAAGGAGAGGAAAGTGCGATCCGTGGCTCCAAATTTGGGAT